TTGTCATACCAGTTTCTATCAGTTTACTGAAAGGAATAGTTAATTTTTAAATTTTTTTGATGAATCTTGCATGCCTATATCTGGTAATCTGGACAATCACTTTGAAGATAACAATATGCAATATAATTATTGCTGATTTCCTCTTGGCTTCTTTTGAAATTCTATAATTTTTATTGTTTTTTTGGTTGTTTTGTTAATGTATATGTTTTTGTTATTTTGTTTTTTACATTTTATCTTTAAAAAGAAAAAAACTATATATGTGTGTGTGTGTGTGTAGACAAGGATAGCTGGGATAAGTGTGTTGCTGATGTCTGTTGGTTTGTTGAAAGGAACAGTTAATGCTTACATTGTTTTTTTTTTTTCTTTTCTCTTGACCACTTTTGCATGCTTATATCTGGTAATCACAACAACTGGTTTGAAGACAATAATATGCAATATGACAGCCATTGTTGAATTCCCACCATCTTGTTTGATGAATCTCTGTCTTGTTTCTAATGTATTTTTCACTACTTGCTATTATCTTTAATTGCTTGATCAGTCTTGCATTCTTGCATCTGGTAATCTCAGCAACTTTGTCGAGGATAACAATATGTAACATAACAACCATGGTTAATTCTATCATTTTGTTTTGAAATCCTGTGTTGTTTCTTGTTTTTGTATTTTTTTGGTCTTCATTGTTGTTATTTTGTTATTGTTTTCTTTTTCTTTTTACAAAAAGGAAAAAGGTAATGTGAAAAAAGGTGCAGAAATTGGACTGATACTGCCATAACTAAACAATGCCAAAAATTGTTCTTTTGAAAGAAGCTAGGTAGTGCCAAGGGAAGGCCCTCTCCTAAGCCTTGAGAGGCACAGAAGCTTACCAAGATCTTACTTTCAACCTCTGCTTCCAGACCCGTGGGAGAAATTTGTACTGTTTTGCAGAAATTTATTTCAGAATTGTTAGACTACACAGAATGAAGCAAGTTGTCATGTGAATTGTGTTACATATCAGGTTTGTCCTCTCACTTTTCCGCCACCTTTACAATAAGAGCATCTTCTGGATAACCATTGATTAAAGAATAGTGAGGAGCATGTGGAACAGTTCTAGACACAACCTTGCCTGGCATGGTGGCGCACGCCTGTAATCCCAGCACTCGGGAGGCTGAGGCAGGAGGATCGCTGTGAGTTAGAAACCAGCCTGGGCTACAAAGTGAGCTCATGGCCAGCCTCAACTGCATAGTGAGACCTTGTCTCAAAAAGACAAAAAAACAAACAAAAAACAAATAGACACAACCTGACTTGAAAGCAGGGCACAGCTTATCTTATCCTACATCTGCTGAATCTCAGGCGTATGACTGGGAATCGGTGTTGTTCTTAGCTACTAACTTTGGGAGTGTTTTGCTTCACTCATGATATGAAGTATGTAAATAGCTAACTAAAATGTAAATGTTTTATTTTGCTGTTCATTGCAAATATTATTATATGTAATCCCTCAATACTTCAACTTGTATCTTTTACAAATAGGGACATTCTCCCATATAACATTTGTAACATTTTCAACTCGGGAAATGTAGCACAAATGCAGTACTATTATCTAATATACACTTCATACTTGAATTTTAGCAATTGTTTCAATAATGTCCTTTGCAGATTTTTTTTAAAGTCTAGCATAAAATTAAGGGTACTATGTCGCTTTTAGTTGTTAAGTTTCTTTGGTTTCTTTTAAGGTGAACAGTTAAGAGAAGATCCTTTTATGACACTTTTTCTGATTTTATTCATGACAAATGACTTCTTTTTCATGGCATTGCTCTCCTCCCTTCTGAGGAGCTGCCTTCTTCCCTTCTTGCATTGAGCTGCATCCCCATCCTTTTTTTTAAATTTTGAAACAGAACCTCACCAAGTTGCCCAGGCTTGCTTAAACTTGTGATTCTCCCTGAGCCATCATTGCTGTGTTTAAGAGGTTCTTATAGCATATCTCATAATGTAGAATTTTTATTATTTCCTCTGGATTCAATTCAGATTAAATATTTTGATAAAAATATCACATAGGTGATGTTATACTCTTCTAAATGTATTTTGAGACATTTTATACTATCACTAGGGATACAGTCCTAAGTTTGATGGCTTGATCATGTAATGGTATCAATCAAATTTCTTGGTGAAATGTACTTTTTAACTCTTTTTATAAATAATAATGGTCTTGGACAGAACATTTGAAACAATGTGATACACTGTTCCCAAAGCAATTTTACTAGTGAGTGGTTTCTACGATATAGTAAGAGTTATTCCCATTTCCATTAGTATATTTACTTATTATATAAATCTTAAAATACACATAAAAGAATTTTGAAATTATTATACTATATCTGGTGTCACTTTTAAAAATCTACTCAAGCAGGCCATAGAAGTATATTTGCTAATTATCTCTAATGTAATTAGAAATACAATTATTTCCATTGATGTAGGGCCAGTGAAGTGTTGTATCTTTCCTCATCCATTATAAGGATCATAGCTGAGAGCATCAAAATAAAGATAAATTAATAATAGACAAACAACAAATTTACCTATTTGCAGTTTTACATGATGAAGGGACATTCAGAAATGAAGACCCAAGACCCAGGGGATAAATTTTTTGTGTTTTGGTTTTGATTTTTTATGCTTTTGGTTTGAAGACTGTATGGCCTTTTAGAAATATGATGGTAGTAGATGGTGGAAAGAGAATGCAAGAATGTTTGTCCAGATTCTTCTTCCCATATCTGTGTGGTACTCCTTCCTAGAAGGTATAGGTCAGACTTTTCTTGAACAAGGATCTTATGACTCTCTATAAGAATTTTCTTTCGGCCAGCTCCTACACAGAAAGACAAAGGAAGGTTGGAATAATACTTCTAGGTTTTAAGGCTTGCTTTAGAAAAGAGGATTTCTAGTTTTCATTACCAGCGTGGGGAGGAGAAATTTTCATTTCTATGACTCATGTCAGTGGGGGAAAAGAGTAAAGAGAAGGGGGGGAAAAGAGTAAAGAGAAGGGCAGGAAAAAGTCAAAGGGAATTTGCTGCAGAGGCCTTCCAAAATCCTTCAGTCCAAATACTCAGTAAGCCAATGCAGCATACTTCTGCATGTCATTTTCTGAGCCCCCACACTAGATAACAAATTATTTCTATCCCATAATCTGTTCTTTTTTTCTTTTTTGTACAAAGAATCAAACTCAGGACCTTGTGCTTGCCAGGCAGGTGTTTGTGCCGCAGAGCTACATCCCAGCCAGTCTGTTCTTCAAGAGTCTATATTTTCTATTTATGAAATTAGCTTAGGGTCATATTTATTCTAACATTTATGTAGCACATATCATTTATTTTCATTTAATTACTTCAACATCATAAGTTTAAATGTTTATGAATTTTTCTGTTGAGAATTTTGTCATTTTCAGTGCTTGCCTAGAGTATTGGAGAGATTTCTCCCATTTGTTGCTTCTATTACTGTATTCAAACTTTAACTAGTTTTAAAATTTTAATATTGATATTTCTTATCAATCATTTGTATAAGCATATTAATATCTAAGATCTTTTCTTGTTTTCTTTTATATACTTCTTAAGCCTGAAAAAAAGCTATTTTCAGAGGTGAATGTGTTTTAAATTAGTGAGGTTACACTTGCATTTTTAAACTTTACTACTATTTTAGAATTCTATTCCTCTGTTGTGTCCATTTATGCATTTGAGGTCTCATTCATTTTGGCAGAAACAGGATGATTTGGGAAAAGAAGTCTTTGTTAAGCAACTCAGCTTATTTCAGCTGCTCTTGATCACCCATCTGCTCTATGACAATGACTCATTGTTCAACATGTGTATGTTTCCTTCTCCCACAGTAACATGAGAGGCCATGGCATAAAGCAATCTTATTAATATACCAGATCTATATTACATTCTTATTTTAAACAGATGGCTTTCATGCCTTGTATTCATTCATGCTTGCTTTTCCATTGGTAATATACACTATAGGTGTCTTTCCATGAAATCAGGAAGTGCTTGGAAACTTTTTAATTTAAGCAAATGGGGGACTAGAGTAATAATTATTCCACTCATTAAATTCTGAACAATTTCTTCATTTTATAATTAAAGATCATTCAATTATCAACTCTAAATTCAATCCCTAAAATTATATTTAAATTAATATTTTGTCAATAAAATTTGTTTTGAATCTTAGAAATGTTAATTATTATTTTCTCTGTTAAGATCCATGTATGACTAAAGGAAAAATTATATAAGAATTCCAAATACTAACTGAGTTAACAAAGTTAAGTGTGCCTCTTGGGCACATCTTTTTATGAAATTGATGTTTGAGAAAGAATTTATTCTTAATTTGCTAGAATTGGTTTTACACTGTAACCCATCCATTGAACATTGCATGGGATCTGTATTTTCTGGCTATGTAGAAATCATTTGTTATTAAACTAATTGGGAAGAAAAGGTTACTATCAGATACATATAGAAATTAAATGGTCATTTGGAAATCTGACTTCACAGTTTAGTTAAAAAGTACTCATATTTCTATATATTTTTAGAAAAAAATAACATTTGAATGAAGAATGCCATCACCTCTTTTTCTTGTTTTTTCTTGTTCTCTATTAAGTAATATCTATGTGTAAAGCTATCTAAGGCCATCTTGTCTGAAGCTCTATATACATATTTTACAGTGACTTAATCATCACTCTATAAAATAATAAAAATGCAAACACCAGAAATAATAAGCATGCCGTAAGTGCCCCATATTTTCAACTGTCTCCTAACTTGTAACCCAGCCCTGGAAAAGATTAAAAGAAACAAGACCAGCACTTTCTATATATAAACACAATTTTTGTCCTCTAGAAACTAAGATCAGAAAAGTACTCAAGGCTAAGCTTCTTTGAATGTGTTTAGCTAATAAGATTCCTTAGCATTCATTACCTTTATATAAGCTACTTCTCAAATATCTATTTGATAACAAGTATTATTGGAAGAAATACTTGGAGAAATTTAAACATGTTTGTAAATTATTTTCTTGGGTGGAAGTTACAGATTATTCTGGAATCTTTCCATTTTCCTGTATCCCACTCTGACCTTTAAAAAATAGCCCTCAAAAGTCACCTGCTAAGGTTTAAAATTCCCAAAGCCCTCCAATTTGTGTTTTGAGTTTAGGGTCTCAATCTAAGTACTTTTTGAAAATTATCAATAGCATTTTCCTCATCAACCACCAGGTGGCAGATGGATCCTGTTTTTAGAAAGCGACCCCGACCCCGCCCTACCGGAAGCTGTCATGCAAAGGAAATCTCTGGGCCCCTCCTGTATACAGTTCAGCACCCGGGACGCGGACAGCGACACCGCCCAGTCTAGTCCCGTGACTCGCTGCGGAGATTTTCACCTGACAGAGTAACTGGCCAATCCCAGCCGGTTCCAAGGGCCGCGTGGCTGACTAATTTATAATACCAGATGTGGAGGTGGGTAGAAAACCCTTGATGTGGGGCATTTAGAGTGGCAGGAAAACCAACTGATATCAAACAGTATCCCCTGCTGCAAAATCCTGCGTTTGTTTGTCTCTCCGCTCTCTCGCTCACCGCCGCCATCCACACGCCTCGCAAATTGTGCCGCGCCGTGAGACAGACGCTGGACTTCACCCGACGCCGAGCGTTGGTTTACCCCGACAGAACCGTGAGGCAGGAGGCGGGGCGGTCTGCAGGCCATGGCGGCTGTGCCTCCTTTGGACCAAGATGCTTGTCAGCTGCTTTGGAAAACCAGCCCGAGGACGGAGTGCTTTCTCTCTTTTTCCAGTGAATTAATCTCAAAAATACAAACACCAGCTGTCTTTTGTTCACACGAAATTACCATCTTAGGCAAAGAGACGGTACTGAGGCGCAAGTGTTCTGCAAGCGACGGTTTAGGTGTCGTTTTCCAGTTGCCTAGCAACTAATTAGACAAAAGAGCACGTTGCTACGGTTTTAATTCGCGGTTTCGAACTGCAAAAACCCAAGGGCAAATTAAAATGGCTTCCGGATAGCAGATATCAGGGACTACATTTTAGAATCAGGATGTACTTAATTCTAGGTACTTGCTAAAGAGGAACAAAAAGCTATTTGAGGCTGACAAGTTTGAGATTGCCAAATAGGTTAAATCAAGCGAAATTTTAGTTGTAGTTTATCCTTTCACGGATTGCTTTCCTTCTCACCGCTTTGGCGGCGACAGTTCACATTTTTAACCAGCAGAGGGCGAGTCGACTGCAGTTTTCGCCCTTCAGACACTCCTCCTTCCACCTCCGCCCCTGGAATTAATTTAGCACTCTGCTTTTCAAATATAGAACAAGCCGAGCAAGTGATGGTGGAAAGAGTGTGGTGTGCGGGACTTGGCCCAGCGCCCGACCCGTCAGCCCCGAACGTGTGGCTGCTCGGCACTCACGCCCACAAGCGTCTCCTTGCCGGGGCTGCGGGAAGAATCGCAGTGGCGGTTGCAGCAAAGCTCAGGGATGAGAAACAGCCCGGTCCTCAGAAGGCGGGGAGACACAGGCTCCTTGGCCTCTGATAACTGAAAGACCAGAGACGGTCCAGTAAGATGACAAATCGAAATTGTGAAGGTTTGAAAGATGAAAGAAGCAGTTTACTTATCACGGCCAATAACTGTGTGATGCAACAATACTCCCCCGCTCCCCCCACCCCCACCCGCCGCAGAAAAAAAGGCTCTGCTCTGGCTTTGCGACCTTAGGAACAAAAATTAGAGGGAAGAAGAGAAAACAAGGAGGTAAGAGGAAAGACTAAAATTCTAGCTAAGTGATCTTTAAAAGAGACTAAACAAAGCAAACCAGCTCAAAAGGAGAGGCAATGGAAGAAAGCCTGCCAGAATGCAGGTCAGAGCAATAAAGCATGCAGCACAAAGTTAATTTATTGTTGGCAGGGCCCTCTTCATTCTGGACTGGTTTGCCACTTGCTCGAGAGGGCCAGTTTACCTTGTAGTGTAAGATTTCACAGAATCTTTCTGGGCAGGCAGCCAGAAGTTCCATTAATTGGACATGCCCTTTTTCCTCCTCATATTTATGTCCTGGAATTTATCTAACTCGGTTTCAAACTAGTAAAATTAATTTTTCCGGAGGCCATTAAATGAAATTTTATTTGACATTGTATTTTCTTTCCTTGAATCACCGATTTCTGTAAAGCTTGTGTTTAAAAGACACCATTTATAATTTATAGTTATTAAAGACATCATATATAGTTCATTTATCAATTCAGTTCATAAAAGAGTATGATTCATTCTTTCTTTCTTTGTCTCTCTTTTTCTTGAAGTGCTGGGGTCAGACTTGGGAAAGGTAAATGTTCTAGCACAGAGCTACATCTGCAGCCTGACACTTTCTTAAATTTGTTACTGAGGAGGACAAGAGTAAGGTATCTGAACAGATTAGATCAAATATGATTTAACTCACAGTCGTGTGATTAATTTTACAGATCGATTGAACTTTAATGGTATTGTATAGCATGTCTGCATTTCTATAGCATTTCTACTGTGAAGGAACACCTATAAATGTTCTATAAATATACCAAATTTCATTCATCTTGCATCAAGATCAAACAAATGCATAAAATTGGCTAAAATAATCCCCTCAACTATTCACACAGAATCCAGAATTATCTTCCAAAATCCTAAGTACCAGGTCAGTGAACAGGTACTTAATGAAAAAGAATATTCAAATAACCAATAAACAAAGACTTTCATCATTAATCATCAAAGATGGAAAATTAAATCACAATGAAATGGAAATTTAAATCACAATGAAATGTGTTTACCCACTCAAGGAAATGACTAAATAATAGCTGACATTTTCAAATGTTGGAAAAGATGGGGCAACTCCAACAATCATATATTATTGGTGAAGAGTAAATGGTATAATCACTCTGGAAAACTGGCAGCATTAACTAAAGTTTAATATAAGGATATGACTGGGTGATTTCACTCATAGATGTATATATACCTGATAGAAATGCATACATGTATGTACAAAACAACATGCATAAATCATAGTATACAGCCCAATACAGTTTTATAAAGGAAAGATATTCAACTATCTACCACCCAGATCAAAAAATAGAATAGAATAGAACTTTTTATAGAATATTACAAATCCCTAAAATTTCCCTGTATCCACTCACTTTTATCATTATAGCAACATAAGTTCATCAGAGCCCAATTCTGGAAGCAATTCAAATGTACTTCACCAACAGAATGGGTAGAATGTTGTTACTGTGTAAACAAAAAAATACACAATAATAAAATTTTTAGAATATACATGTAATGACTAAATCTCGCAAATGTAGTACTCAGTAAAATATTCATAAGCAAAATAAAATAATTGTATGCTTCTATTTACATAAGCTCAGTAATTGGAAAAACTATGTTTAGATAATAAAAGTGAGGGTACTAGATAATGGTGGAGATAAAGACTGGAACTGAGTATTGTAAGGTTTTAGAGACTGGATAATACTCTATTTCTTGATCTGGATGGTAGATATTTGAGTATGCTTACTCTTGAAATTACTGAGCTGTATACTATAATTTTCGTTTGTTATACTGCAATAAAAAGTATGTTTTTTAAAAGACATAAGACAGATCATGTCATACAGATGTTTAAAGACATTCAGTGCCTTCCACTGCACTAAGAGTAAAAATCTAACATCCACAATATGACCTATCAGGCCTGCATAAAGTACTCCTATCTAAATTCCAGTCTCTTGTTAACTACTTTCTCCCTCAGTCACCATACTTGGATTACTCTGATCTCCACCATTTTTTAGAAAATATAAATCTCTTTTCAATCTTTAGTTCACTGTTTTCTCTACCTGGAATATGTCATCATCAGCTTTTTGTATGACATGCTCCTTCTAAGCCTTTAAATCAGATGCAATGACACCTTTTCAGAGAAGCATATTTTGACTTTCCTACCTAAAGTCCTTGTGTAATTTTTCTATTTGCTACTGTAACAAAGCACTAAAATGGGCTAAAACTCAGGGTATTATTAGATGTGCTTTCCTTCTAGGCATTGTAGGGGAGAACTGATTTTCTTGTCTTGTTCAGTTTTTAGAGGCACATGAATTTGGGGGGTTGTGTCTCCTTTTCCCATTTTCCTTTTGGGTTTTTTTCTTTTTTCTGGTACTGGGAATCAAACTCACGACCTTGCACTTGCCAGGCAGGTGCTGTGCTGCTGAGCTAAATCCCCAGCCCCTCCTTTTCCCATTTTCAAAGCCAGTATTTCAGCATCCTCAACTCTTTCTCCAAATGTGACACCCTTTCTACTGCCTCTTCTACTTTTAAGAACCCTTGTGATAATATAGGGTTCACCAAGATAATACAAGATAATCTCTTGAGCTCAAAGTTAGCTAATTAGCTGTGTTATTTCCCCCTTGCTATCTGATATAACATTAGTAGATTCTGGAAACTAAGGTGCAGATATGTAAGGAAGGCATTATTCTGCCTATCACAACCTACCCGTTTTTGTGTATGTGTGATTTTTTTTAGCTCAGCACAATGCCTATTTCCTTAACAATCTAATTACAATTTAAAATCATTTTATATATTTTCCATTCTCTAAATGCTGTACTATACTTAATTGTAAATTCTATGTGACTACAGGCTTATCTATCCTATTCTCTTCTATTTCTCCCCTACATAGCATAATGCCTGGAACATTGCAGTAGTTCTATAAGTGGAAAGAATAAACAAATTATGATCTTTGCCTCTATTTTGAGAACCGCTCTTAAGAACTCTTTTTGGAATTTATCTCTCCTTCTCATAAATTAAGTCCTGGCAGGAGAAAAATTTCTGGAGAAATAACAGCATAGATTTTCACAAGTTCTTCACCACAATAACTAACTGTAAAGAATCATGTCTATAGATAGAAACCCATACTTGTCACATATATACCTTCATTTTTCATCGAACTTAAAAAGATAGCTTATTTTTTTTTGGTACTGGGAATCAAACTCATGACCACAGGCTTGCCAAGCAAACGCTTATGCCACTGAGCTATATCCCTGGCCCAAGGATAGCTTATTAATTGCTGCTTTGTGTAGAAAAGCCTATCTCAGAACTCATGCAAGTGAAGAAAAGATAATCTAAGATGAAGAGCTGGAATTCTTTGTTACAGTAACATGAGAAATATATGGTGCATGATATGAGCCTATGAAGTAGCTATAAAGGCAGGTGTTATCAGGTAATTACTGCTTACTTCTGTTTTACTAGGTTGTAATATCAAATACCAAAGTATTTTTAAATCTTTGTGACTTATTTATTTATTCAGCATGTACTAATTCATAATTTATCAAGTGTTAGATACTCTTCTAGGTTTTGGGAACAAGTAGAATAATACAAAGTCTCTGCCTTTTAGGGAGCTACAAATATGACTACATATATGACACTGTGTAAGGTAGTGGCAAGTGTTATAAAGAAAAAAATTTCTGATAACAAACTAATAGAGGGTGGTTTTTTTGATACAGGTCTCACTGTATAGTTCAGGCTGGCCCTGAGCTCATTATGTAGTCCAGGCTGGCCTGGAACTTGTGGTGATCCTCCAGCCTCAGGTTCCTAAGTGCTGGGATTATAGGAGTACACCAACACACCTGGCCTAATAGGGGGTTTTGAATAGAGGTTTAATTTATGTTATAAAAAAACCCTGGCATATATATATATATATATATATACAGTAAGGGAAAACAAATTAGTAGGCCACTGCAGTAATGTAGACAAAAGTTAATGGTAGTTTGAACTGAGTTAGTAGCACTAGAGCTAATAAAAACTAGATTTGGGACTTTTGTTTTATTTTTAATTGACAAATAATAATTTTATATATTTTTGAAAGAAAATTGACATGAATTTGATTATGAATTTGATGGAATATTTCAAGTAGCAATGAATACTAATTTTTATTTTTTAATTTTAATTTTTTTTATTTTTAAAACAATAGCAAAATACCAACATCATAGTCAAAAACAAAACAAAGCAAAAACATTAAAACTGATAAGGGTTTCAAAACAAAATGATAGGAATTAGCAGTGCTTGTTATATTACATATTGTTATCTTCAACAAATTTGCTCAGATTACCAGATGTAAGAATGCAAGATTGATCAAACCATTAAAGAGAATAAAAGAATTTTAAAAACATTAGAGATTATACAGAGTTTCACTAGACAAGACGGTAGGAATTCAACAATGGTTGTTATATTGTATATTGTTGTTTTCAAATTAGTTACTCAGCTTACCAGATATAAACATGCAAAATTGGTCAAAAAAATTTAAGCATTAACTGTTCCTTTCAATAAGCTAATTTTTAAAATGTAATTATTTTACAATCTTGTAAAAAGGGAAATTAGGAGAACAGGGAAGCTATAAATTGTAGGTATAAAGAACACTTTCAAGGAATGTTTTTGTAAAGAAAAAATGAGCAGTAGTATAAAGGAAAAATGAGGTCAATAGATAGTTATTTTAAGATGTGAGAACTAACAGCATGCTTGTATACTGATGGGGACGCTTCAGTAGCAAGGAAAAAATCAATAATACAGAGCTGGCAGGAAGTACCATCCTTGAGTATGTGATATGGAAAGATATTTGAGCACAGTGGGTGGGTGAACTTAGCTATGAACATAGTTCATCTACCAGCATAGAACATAAGGTGAAGTATAAAAAAATAAGACAAGCCAATAGGCAGATGTGGTGAGAACTTGTGGACTTGCTCGTCTGATCAATGCATTTATCAATGAAGGAAGAAGAGGCTGTCTTGACAGAGAGGATGGTGTGTGGAAGTTTAGAAAACTATCATGATACGAAGTGGTCAAGGCAGAATAGATGAGGAAGGCAGAGTAAGTGAGCTAGAAAATTACTGTATACAATTTCCAGGCAGCATTAAGGGCCCTTTGAAATTTGTAATCATATATACAAATTGAAAAAAAAAAAAAAAAAAAAA